TAATTTATTGAGATGCACCTGTGTGATTATACACAAATGAAAACATGCCAATCAATATTATATTCAGTTACTGCCAATAGATCCTCCTTAATGTTACACACCTTTTAAAAAGCAAAAACCAAGCCGAGCTGATTCTGCTCAGTAGGATAAAGCAGACTAAAGGAATAAACAGCCTTTAAAAGCTGCTCAGCGGTCAGTTTCGACAGTGTAATGTTGGACAGTAAAATGGCTGTGTACTGGGCCACTGGTGCTCCTCAACAGTTAACTGTCAGTCGGTGGGTGACGACTTGTTTTGCTGTTGGCTCCCTCTGAATCCTCCTCACACGTGAGCGCGGCGGGCGGAAGACTGGCGGAGGAGCCTCCCTCTCTCGGCCTTCAGGAGGGGCTGAAGGTGACTCTCCTCTCGGCTGGGATGCAGAGGGAGCTGCTGGGGGTCCATCCGGCCCGCTACACACGCTGCTGCTCCGGGAATAGCGACACACTCCAGCGGGGGCTCTAAAGCGCCGACCCTGCTGCGCCGGAGCGCCTCGGCTCCTTCTTTTGCAGAGGACACAGCGGGGTTTAAGGAAAGAGGCGGGGGGAGGGGGGGTCTCTCTGTCTGTCTGCGTCTGGCTGGGCTCCGGTGGTGGGTGTGCATGCATGTGTTCTGCACCGTACGGGCGGAAAAAGCGCCCAAGATCTGCGGGGATCATTTTTCCCATCAGTAGAGTGGCGCAGTCGGAGCCGGAGCGCCGGGAGAGCACGGAGGGGGCCGTGGACGGCAGCAGGATGGTGAGTGCTCAAATAGCGACAGTAATCTCAGGTGATGGTGGGGAAGAGGTCCGTGTTTAACGTAGCTCTGCACCAAAGCACAGCTTCTTGTGATCCGATCAGGTGCAGCAGTGGCGCAAAGGGGACAAAGGACAGACCTGCTGGGAGTCCTCCTAAAGGCTAGAGCAGTTTGAGTCTTGCCTTCCTTAGAAGGTGATCTCGGTTTGTTTGTTTGTTTCCTAACAAACAGTCCGTGGTTGTTTATTTTCTGCAGACTGTCCAGGAATTCAACACCCTCGTCGCGCTGTACCGGGAGCAGGTCATATCCGTCGGGGAGATCTCCGCCGACTGTCCGTCCCTGCGGGCTCAGATGCACCACACACGGTCCAAAGGATGCTCCATGGCCCGGGCTGCACACCAGGACCTCGCCGTCATCTCTGTGTCAGGGTGAGAAGGAAACAAAGAGAGATTGTGAAAAATAAAAGGAACAACATTTTTGGCTCCATCAGTTTCTATTAAACATTCACCAGCCCCTCTGTGTTCGTCTCCAAGCATCTTTAACCCTGATATTCCCCTCATTAGACAAACTACTGATTCACACTGTTAGACAGCAGTGTATATCTGCTGGTTCCAGCTGTTCCCTTGGTGGAATAACAGTGCTCTAATTAATGCGTTTTATTTAGGCTATGGCACAAAGTTACCAAGTGATTGAGGGTGAAAAAATATGAATAATTAATAAATAATGAGATAAGACATGAAAAGTGTGAAAGTAAAGAGCCAGATAAACTACATAAAAAAAACAATTTAATAAGGTACAACAGTTCAAATGGGCACAGTTGAAAAAGGAGTGCACAGTTGACTAGGGGTGGAAGAAAATATAGAACAATATTGTATCGATTCTCAAAAACACCTTGACTTTTTTAACCCCTAACCACAGATGGCAGTGTTGTAAACATAAACTGAGGTCTATGTTACTGAATGTTACAGCGACTGTGAGAAATACAAATGCAGATCCCACTGTTGTGGTTGCATAAACAATGACCTTTATTTAACTTCGATTTGATTCATTCGGGGGTGTCTGTGTTCTTTGACAGTTTTCCTAAATTTGGATTCTTGCCGGTACACAGCCCTGCTGTTAGCCGTCCGTGAAGCCCCAATTACAACTCACATTTTGAAACGAACAATAAATACAGAGTACTGCTGTATGAAAATCTAAAAAGGATGAAGTAATTAGTTAAAGTGGGTGTTGTTACTGTTTGGTAGTGCAGTATGTTTCAAATAAACCCTGCTAGTTTTAGTAGTTAGGTAATTTGTGATGAAATGAAAGAGAAATAGAAAAGCCCAATCTGCAGCAGGTTTTGGAAGTTGGTATTGGTTTAAAGTGCACATTCCCCTTCTCTGTTTCTTCTCTGTTTGTCTGATTGTATCTCCTTCTCTCTCTTTTCCTCTCACCCCTCCTCCTCCTCCTCCTCCTCCCTCCTCTGCTGCAGTCCAGAGGATGGAGAGATCCACCCAGAGATCTGTCGACTCTTCATCCAGCTGCAGTGCTGCCTGGAGATGTTTATAACAGAGATGCTCAAATCCATGTGCCTGCTGGGGGTGCTGCAGCTGCACAGAAAAAGTACCATCACCAAAAACAAAACATGTGTTTAAGTGAAGGAGGTTTATGATATTGCACCGCCACGCTTTAAATGGTGATGGCAAGAATAGCATGCATGCTGGTATCTTTATGCGTCAATCATACATCAATAATTCTAACTTTATGCATGTTCCATGATGATGAACTACACAAAGATAGAAATGCATGGCAAAAATAGAATATTGTCAAAATTTAAGAGACACCCTTTAAGTGTGCCTTGTGACACCACAGTGGTTAAGGGTTTAGTTAGGCTTGTTTATTTTGTTTATTTGTTAGGATCCCCATTAGCTGTGTCCTGAAGCAGAGCTAGCCTTCCTGGGGCACAAAAAACATGTTCATTAATTGTCTATATAATCTGTTAAACATGCACAGACAAACAGTTGAAATGTTGTAAATATTCAATAAACTATCTGTAGGCTGACTATCCAAATAACTAAATTATGAATTTAAAAAGGGCACAAATGATGTACAGAAAAGTCACTACTATATAACGATGGAGACTCATTTTATTGTAATTAGTGAGTATAATGTGGGCTGTCAGTAAGTAAAGTTTTGTATTTTTACACAGGCTTATTGTAGTAATTAGAGTAATTATTAAATAATGAGATAATTATCATCCACTACTAATATAAAATAATCAGCAGATTCAGTTTATTAATTCAGAATATAAATCGACTAATAAATTATGATGTATTGTTATAGATTAAGATATCCAGCAGTATATAAAATGAGCTCAGCCACATCCATACAATCAAAATATAGTTAAAATTCAAAGTGGCCATAAAACCTCTAATTATATATGACATATGCACATTATTCAGGCTGTTGGACGATATCTGAGGAGCTGAGAGTTCAGTCCCCAGTCAGCAGAGGGCAGTAGAGAGCTGTTAGTGTGTCATCAGGGGTTCCCAGCCGTTTTCAGAGTAAACTTGCAGCCCCTGACTAAGTGACATATTTTATGGATATTTCATTTATAGATATTTAATGTATAGATGTACAGTAATAAACTGCACAATGAACCCAAACAGTGAACACAGTAACTGCAGGAAGTTTGTGCAAAATGAGCAATTTGAATAAATGTGGAGCAGATTATTACAGGTTTTTTTTTTTTTTTTAGCTTTCTGATATTTTAGGGAACTTTTTTGTGAAGTGCTGTTACATAGGACTATTGTGTATATTTTAAAAGAAGAAGGCCTCGCATCCCCCTAAGAAGTGGGGGAACCACTGGTTTACATATACCGATGAGCTTGGATTCATTTTCACTGGTACCTTCAAATAAGACAATATATAAAAACTTTACTAAAACTTTATTAAATTAAGACGAGACATTAAAAAAAACTTTATTCCTACATGAATTATGAGCTCACTAAAGCTTTACTTCCACAATATAGATGTTGCTCTCTTTGAAATGCACCAGAATTCTCTGTTTTATGGGAAGAAATGATCCATTGCTTTAAAGATGCAGTCGTTTTGAATGTGTTTGAGTTGTGCCTCACAGCTGCTGTATCTGTTGGGTCCTGCAGGAACGGACTCGGAGCCGAAGGTGGACTTCAGGATGGATGAAAGCTCTGACATCCCCATCCTTGAAGACCGATCCTCCTCCCCCATCGACTTTCTACAGGAGCAGTGGCTGGTGGGAACCGATATCGAAAATATCGAAAGGTACACACACTGCCCCTGCTTCTTTTAATGCAGCGTAACCTGTGTTTTTCTACCGTTGGGAATTCAGAATAATTATTCCGAACTGCAAATAATCTGCTGAGTCACTTACTTTGTTTTCACAGAGATATGCGAGAGATGCGAAACCTACTCAGCAAACTCAGGGATACGATGCCATTGCCACTGAAAAACCAAGGTATAATGTTTGTGATGGATGAAATTGTAAAATCATAACTATGGCAGCTCAAAGACAGCCACAGTCCTGCAGCCACATCCACAACAACCAATGAAATGAAGCTAAAAATACTAAATTATAATCAGATATTCACATACGTGCTCCCAACTCACAGACATATACAACCTGTGGTAGATACTGCTGAATACAATAAGCTCAAACTCAATGGCAATAAAAGTGAAGTTCTTCTCATCGGATCCAAATCATCACTCTCCAAA